TTTTGGTAAATCAACTTCAAAACCAGTCTTGCAGAACTAGGGAAGAGACCTTTCTGAATGTATTAAGTGCAGAATGTAGTCGAGAATGTTCCTAAATATGCAAGAAATGCTTCGTTTCTTGTCCACAGTGGGTAAGCAAGCAGTCTGACCATGTCCTTTGAAGCTGAAAGTTGCAGGGACATCCTGCAGCAAGGACACAGACACAGCTCCAGGATCAGGCACCAGGTGAGGAGCTCTGCCTCATCCTGCCTGAGAGTGTGCAAGCACAGGTGTGAGCACAAGAGGGTCCTTGTTCTGTTTTGATTCATTTTCAAGGAAGTTCTCCCAGCCTCTGAGCCAGGAGAAGTTTCTTGCCTTCACACATTTTTCTGCCTTGCTTTCATGCTACTGAGCAGCTGCTCCGAGCTCAGCCCCCAATCCTGCCTTGATCCGAGAGGCTCAAATGAGAATTATCTGCTGCCTCTAGCCTTCCCCTTCTGATCCTCATCCTGCTCATATTTTATTATTTATTATTCGTTGCCATTGCCAACCACAGAGCACTTAGCAGGATGCTGAGCCACAGGCTTGGCTTGGGGCAGGCGGGATCAGGATGGTGCAGAGCTGCACTGCCTCCAAGGAGGCCCCTGGAGAACACTTGGCTGGTAGCAAATCTGCAATTACAGGTTTTAAGATGCAAAGTGAATGCACGCAACTTTTCTGCTTAAGCAATAGAAGGTCCCATATCCAACAGATATGCTTATCGTAGTTGTGGAAATAGAGACGTCTCTTTTATTGGCTGCTGTTTAGTGCAGCGCTCATAAACAACTGACAATTAATTGAAGGCAGTGTTACGGAAAACAATCTGCCCACAAAGACTCCTTTTAACCAGCAGTTGTCATGTTTGTTGTGATCTCAAAGAAATAAGTTTGAAGTTATTGACTTTTCTGAGACAAACTAGCAAATAAACATGAAAACAAACAGTAAAAATGAAATACTGGGAACAAAGTGCTTTTGTGCATGTACTGTTTTCCAGGTTAGAACCGTATTTAGAAATAATTCTTAGCAGCGTTCTCTTCTTTTTAACCCGGTAAAGACAGGACTTTTGAGGGGCTTACTGACAGTGAGGGGTCAGAAGACCGTAATCTCCTTCCTAATATCTGATACTGCACAAGAAATATCCCCAAGTAATCAATAGGTCTGTCCAGATTAACAAATAATATGAACCTCAGCCTGTGCTGTAGCCACAGGGCAGAGGCACAACGTATCCAAGCGGATACACACTGCTGTCCCCAGAAGGGAGGCAGTACATGTACTGAGAACGGACTCTGACTAGCGCTATCCCTGAAGCCATGCTCCGGCACTGTTTGGAAAGATGAACAGATAAAAATCACCCCTGAGAACACACCTGTGAGTTAACAGCTTCGTGCAAGTCTGTGCTCCTTGTAACCTTGCCTGCTCTACATAGCAGGAGCTCAATCCAGACCCCCTGCACAGGAACATTGCTCTGTGCCTGCGGTAGGGTGAGCGCGAGCAGTCTTGCTCCATGACTTATCCCAAAAGTCTCCATCCGGACTCCATTCATCCAGCTCTGATTTCCTGCTCTGCCACGCTCTGTCTGCATGACCTTGGGCAAGTCACTTTCTGGCTGGGCTGCAGACTGCAGCGTGGTGGAGCAGTCGCTGTAACTGCACTGACCACGGTCCCGACAGCGATGGCAGTAGGAATAAAGCTGGTTTCACCTAGCAACTCAGAAAAAACAAACTACTGTGATCCTTACATTGCCAGAGAGGATTTTGAATGCATTTTAAGCATTTAGAACAATGCTGCAATCTGCACAGTGCAAGTAAGCGCCATCTCTCTGCTCCTCCTCTGTCAAATGGGGAGACCAAGACTTCCCTCCTTAGGGAAGGGCAGTGAAAATAGATGTACTCAAGGCTCTAATCTCTTCCAGCTCTGAATAATGAGTAATGGTTACCTTACACAGACAGATTTTCTTAGAAAAGGACAGGCAGTTTTGCTAGACTCTATGGCCCCATCCAGCCCTTTTGAAATCAGAGCGGTCTGCTGAAATTTGATGCACGGAATGCTCCTGTGAAAGACATGGCAAGAGCTCACCCACAGCCAACCTCCAGCCCATCTTACCCAACTGGGAGACAAGAAGAGAGACAAAGTGAGAGCTGCTCGTGAGATTTGAGGGGAGGGAAAACTACAAGAGGTCTTTACAGGTCCCAGGTTGAGCAGGAGAGCGGATTGGAGCTGCTAAGATTGTCACTGTGGTTCCCAAAAAAGTACAGGTGTTGCCCTTTGTCAGCTGCAGACTAACACAGCTGGGGCACCTTCACAGCTTGTAAACCCAAAGTGTTGTTCTCAGAAGAATTTTCTTCAAGCTACGGTCATTCTTATAGGAAGATGAGAAACTGTACTGGTATTAACCAAGCACCAACTCATTGGAGAAAGTGAGGCAACCTTAGAAGACCCTGATGGGTCCCTCTTGGCTACAGGGAACTTTAGCTGAGAAAGCTCCCAAGGACATGGACCAGCCATGTGGTGAGACCGGTCCACACCACGTATGGCTGGCAGCCTTGGCTGACTGGTTTGCCCCCCTATTAGGTCCTGCCACAACTGCTCTCTCATGTCACGACTCAAGCGAAAAGAAATAGAAACCTCATAGCTATGATCACAGGAGTGGTTCCCTTTGGTGAACATCCAGACACTGATTTGCTCTTGTGGTGTCCCATCCAAGACATTCACAGCTAAATACATCTGGACAACCCAGGAGCACGTGGCACAAACCTGAGCTTCCTCAGCTTTTGTTCAGAGGTTGGACAGGGAAGCCAATCAATAAATCCAGGAGCCCCTACTAAACTGTGCTTTTGGCCATTCCTTGTGCTACCAGAAAAAGAAAACCCCTCTTTCCTAGCAGTAACAGAGACTCTTTTCCTTACCACAGGTGCAGGCTACCATTTTTAGCCTTTCTCTGAAGAACAGCCACCGCTTTTGGTGGCCCCCAAATGTATCCCCCTGCTGAGAAGTGGCTGGAAGGCACCCAGCTTTGTCCCATGGTAAAACCAGACACGTAAGGGCACCTGGGTGATGATACACATCAACTAATGGGGGATTGGAGGTGCTGGGCTAATATTTGGCAACACTTAGAACCACATTTTGAGAAAAACTTTGTGTGTATGATTTTTCTCCCAGCCACTGTTAGTCTCCAATCCCAGTCAACTTTTTCTCACTTTATTTAAAAAAAAAGCAGAAATGGTCAAAAACCACATTGCAAATGACCCCATCCTGACTGCGACAGGCTCAGCAGAGGTAGTCAGACATGTGGAAATTAATCTGGACTGAGGGAGTAGAATCACCATCTCTGTATGAGAATGGGTGATAGCGATGTTAATCTAGATTATTGGTGTCTCCACTGAATTAATTTAATTTCAATTTTAAAAATAAGCAAAATAGAAAGAAAATGCTTTTATTTTGTGTTATAGCAGGATTGTCTCCATAATGAATTAAACAGCAACAATTATTCAGGAGTATTTAATCCAGAGTCAATCGTAGTGTTCCCAAGCACTGCTTGCACTCAAGACTTTCCAACAGCATGAAGGACACCTTTCCATCTCCACCAGATCAAAGAGCCACAACTCTGCACAAGACAAATGCTGTCAAATCTACAGCAATGGGACCAAATCCCACGCATCCCACTTGGCCCTTTTGCTGAAGGAAAAAGACCAGTAAAATCAATCAGTATTTCTGTTCTAGTTTTTTGGGCAGCGACTGGTTTTTCTTTTTTTCCCTGGTAAATCAAGAGTAACAAAAGATAACTTCAGGACCTGGCCAGTATTTGCAACAGCGCTCATCTCTGAGGGGCAGCAAGAAATACTCCTTTCCCTATGACCTGAGTTCTGAGGGACCAGCAACCTAGGGATTCTGTTCAACTCTGTTAAGTAATCCCTGCCTCTGGTGCAATGCCTGGGGAGCATGCAGATATGTCACAATTTGCAGAAACTTCTACCATCCACCTTTAAACTTTCTGCCTTATTTGCTCACAGCAGGTAAGTGAGGCAGACTGCTCCTTACGAGAGGGAAAAGGGTGCGTGTGTGCCAGGGGAATATTCCTGAGACACTTGTGCCAAAATGCTTATTTTTTTTAATCAGAAGGGCTGAAGCTTCTGTCCCCTTTTACTTTGTTTCGCCTTCACTGGAAGCCTCTAGCTGATGGGATCTGTCCCAAAACTCCAGCCCATCCATCAGCACCAGAACTAATTATTTTCATACTGAGAGGGAAAAAAAATAATCCCCCCGTTCCCTTCTATGCATGCAGGTGAAGAAAGAGCAGGCAGAACACCTGAAATCACTCCTCACCCAAACCTCCTGCTTCTCCTATGGCACTCGCAGGGTCAGGGAGATACAGCAGCTCATCGTGCCTTAGAGGAAAGCCTTTTTCTGGCCATACCAAAGATCAGTTACCCTACCACGTCACTGGGGCTGGAATAGGTGACAGCAAAACCCCAGTGAGACCCCAGCGAGACCCCAGCTGTCCTCCCCACACCCGGTTCCGACCTCCTGTCCCCTCTCCCGATGCATTAACCCCTCGAGGCACAGCAAGGTCTCCCGGTCTCCAGGCTGCTCTCCGCTCCCTGCTCCTCCTGGCTCAGTACCGTGCGTCCCCCCCTCCCTCCTCGCACAGAACAATAGCAAGGCATCAGCTTCGGCTGCTTCCCGAGGAAAGCCCAGATCAAACACATTTAGACAGAAAGAGAGAGATATGATTATATTCCTCTTGCTGTTTAGGACAAGAAATGAAGTGCTGCCTCTTTAATTGGCAAAAGCATGCAGTAAGAGCATACCTTTAATTTAGTGTTGGGATAGCTCACTTGCACCCTGGCTGTTGTCTTATTGGAGAGGGCAGCCTGCCTCAGATCCTCTAGTACTGAAATAATATCATCCAGCACGCATTTCTTATCCTGATTTCTCAACACACACAGATGGGAAAAAGTATAATTATAGCCTTTGTAGTTCACCTTCATTTCCAGCACGGCTCGGTGGATCTGCAGGATCACATCAGCCTGATGCAAAATATTGCCTCCGGGTTTGGAGAGGAGAATCACCCTGCCATACCTCCCCGGGGTGTGCAAGTCCGAATACAGCTGGCTTTTGGATTGATCGAGGGAGAACAGGCTGCTGGCTAAGCTCCTCTCGATCTTGGCCAGGCTGTGGCTGGGGGCTACCAGGCTCTCCAGGTCAGTGTCAGGCTGGAAGCGGTTGAGCAGGCTGAAGCCGAAGATGATGGTCAGGACTGCGGGCACAGTGAGGAAAAACACCGGATGCCTGCTCACGAATAAGCCCAGCTTGTAGAAAAACGACTGGAGCCCTCTGTGTATCACCTGCCGCAGCATCCTCCACCAGATCCAGCCTGCAGATGCTCCTGGCCGTCTTAGAAAGCACATGTGACATGTGTAGCTCCTTACCCCTTCCTGTCAGTTTCCTTTTCTCTCTCCCTCTCTCTCTCTACTACTCCTTTAAAAGACTGCAGCAAGTTGCAGCAAGACAGCCAAATATTGATCAATGGGGTGTGTGTGTGCGAGCGTGCGGTGTGTGTGTGGAAGGGACCGGGCAGAGCAGGGAGGAGGGGGGTCCTTGCTTTTCTCCTTTTTTTTCCCTCGCTCTTTTTCCCCTCCTCCCTCCCCGTAGCCAACGAGCAGCTCCCCCCTCCCGCCGGGGGCCCCCCTCTCGCCGCCGTTGCTCGGGCATTGCAATGGGAGCGCTGCCGGCTCCGCAGTGCCCGCTCCGAGCCGAGCCCCGCTTCCCCGGGCGGGCTGGAGGCGAGCGGCCCCCCCCGCTGGAAAGCGCCGCTGCCCTCCTCCCTCCTTCCCTTCCCTCCTTCCCTCCCTCCGCACACACACGCGTGGGGAACTGGCTGGGGCGGGAGGATGATGCTGCATTTTAACATCCCCCGATCCCTCCCTCGTCCCCCCCTCCGGTCCATCCCTACCGACTGCCCCGGGCACCCCCCGCTCCCCTTCCCCTGGGGAGGGCTTTGAGCGGGGATTTTGCGGAGCAGCAGCCAACCCCAGCCCCGGTCCCACGGCTGCTGCATTCCCCCGCGGCATTGCCCCGAGATGCACAGCCCCGCATCGCCACCTCTCCCGTTTCATCCCTCGTTTGCAGCCCGAAGTCGCCCGCGTGGAGCCGCCCCATGGTGCTGTGAGGGGGACGAGGACTCCAGGAGAGGTGCGGGGTAAAGGGCACGAGGTGCCCAGCTGCTCCCTTCTGCAGCCCGACCGCCTGGCACCTCTGCCCTGGCCAGCAGCCCTGCGAGCAGTGACCTAGCAGCTCCAGGACAGGGTTCCTGATCCCCCTCCATCTGGAAAAGACGTTTTTTAAGCAAAGCCACCAGCAGCCCATTACATAAGAGCAGAGAAATTCTGCAGCTCCCAGGACCGAGGGAGAGCAGCAGAGAAATGTATGCGTTTGCAGTAGGAGGGCTGCCCACCAACTCTCCAGGCAGGAAGCTCTGCTTCTCCAGGAACTACGGCCAAAGCTGCCTGGGACAGCAGATCCAGCCCTGGCAATCCTGACAGCCCAGCAGGAAAGGCAGGAGAAAAGGCAGATTTATTTTTAGTATTTAAATCATAATACTAAATTGTAGGAATATAATCCAAAACAACGCTCTTCAGTATGGAATCTCTGCTTGGTGCATCCCTCCCATCCAATTCCTGCTGTATTTTAGGTAGTATTGTCAAGCAGGAATTGATTTCTTTAGGGGATTGAACCAAAGATGTGCAAAGCCTCAGAGAACAAGGTTTTGCCACAATAAACCCCAATTGAAACAAGGACAGTGAAAACAGGGGAACTAGAGAACTAGAGCTTGTCACAGCACACTCTGCCCAAGAAAAGCAGCAGGCTGAGCTCAGCTTTCAAGTAATTATCAGTGTTTTGGAGAAAAAAACAGCTTATTTAGCAAACCCTTTCACGCTGACACCTCCCACACTTCTGTGCAAATGGACAGGACATACACAGAACAGCCCACCTTTGAGGGCTGCAGGGCTTGCATTCAGTCAGAGCCGACAATCCAGTAACACTGGGAACCTGAGGTCCTGCAGAAGGCTGGAGTGATGACATTCTTCCACGTGGATGCAATTGTGAAGTCGGGAGCAATGGTTTGGAAGCTCTCCTTACTCAAGTTGGCGATTCACAATTGCCTTGGTAAAACTGGTTTAATTTTTTAAAGATTTGAATGGTTTCTGCTAGCACATATTGCCTTTCCAATTCAGGCTGCTTTTATTTAGTGGCCTAGATACTGCTGATCTGGAGGCTCTTGCTGGCGTTCTTACAGAGTGCAGGAAGGAGAAGCCGAAGGAGGGAAAATCCATACAAAAGTTCCTCTCAGCCTCCTGCTTCCTCAGCTTGAGGCACTGCCCGTGATGGAAATCTGCCCCAGGAAATGCTAAGCTCCATTGGTACAAATTACAGCTCTCTGTCTATTTTATGATGCACTTATGCCAATGGTTGAGTGCTCCCAGTGAATAAAGTCTGAATGTAAAGGCTTTATTGAGCCTTTGTACTTACACACATGAGCGAGACCTTGAGTGGGAACTTGGAACCTGATTATGAGAGCCTTGGACAGAGTACGGCATCGTGTCACAGCACATCCCGGGCTGGAAGGGACCCCCAAAGATCACGGAATCCAGCCCCAGCCCCACACGCCACCCCCGGCCCGGCTCCCAGCGGCGTCCCAGCGCATCTCTGGCAGCTCAGGGCCGTGCCGCCGCCCAGGGTTGCTGTGCCGCCCTCCGCCCTGGTAAAACTGTGGTGCCCACATCTGCGTGCAGTGCAGCCCGGAGCAGAACGGGATAACGCCTCTCTTTAACCAGCTTGAAGCACTAAAATGTTTCTAAAAAATGTATCCACAAATATCTTTGTGTGGGTGCCGCTGGCATGGAGGTGCTCCTGATGGGGGCTTCGGCAGAGGCTGCGCAGTGTGCTCAGAGCTCTGTGCCTGTGGCCTACGTGGTGCTGGCAAGTGGCTCAGCTGCAGTCACAGCTGATTGCCACGGCCTCGCCTGGTTAAGCTCTCCCCAGGACTCATTATTTCTCGGGACCTGGGCCAGGTCTTCCTGTTAATCACAGGGGGAGCCCAACACAATCACAGGAGCCCAACACAAGCAATCTGGATCACCCTGGGAGGAGAAGGGCCTCCTGGTGTCTAAATCAGACATCACAAAGTGATGGTGTCTCTCAGGGTGCTTGTCAGGACACTGCCCTGCAGGAGCACCCTGATGGGGCAGCGCTGAATCGCTGATCACACAAAGGGAGGGCAGAGGAAGACGTGTGGTGAGAGGTGTGACTGAGCGCATGCTGGTTCCTTCCTGAGCAGGAAAGCACAGTGCTACTGACAAACACTGACTATTGGTCTTGCCCGTCGTTTGGACAGCAACAAAGTGTGATCTGGCATCTGTACCCCACAGGTAATACGGATGATGAAGTGGTCATTGCATTGTGCTGGCCATCTTAAATGGCAAAATCCATAGAGGATCTAAAAAGTCAGTTTGAAGTATGTCTCAGAAAGAAGTAGGGCATCAACACCTATTCTGAGAGCAGCATTGGGACATGCTGATATTTATACCTACCCGAGTGCCATCCTATGAATCCTCTGTGAATGAGGAATACCTGACACGTCAGGATGCTAGCTGGGGAGCTGAGCGCTGGGCAGAGTCAGGAACCCAGAGAATCACAGAATCATACCCAAGGTTGGAAAAGATCTCCAAGGTCATCCAGTCCAGCCGTCTGCCTACCACCAATATTTCCTAACCAAACCCTGTCCCATAGTACCACATCTACACGCTTCTGGAACACCTCCAGGGATGATGATGACTCCACCACCTCCCGGGGCAGCCCATTCCAGCACCTGACCGCTCTCTGGGAGAAGAGATTTTTCCTAATGTCCCACCTGAATACTCTCAGAAATATTTGAAACAAGGCTAGCTCGGAAAACTGTAGTTCTTGCTAGGGAAAATAATTGGAGATGCCTACGCATAGAATGGATGCAACTGTAGGAACAGATGATTCTGTACATATAATAACAGTAATAATAAAAAGATGTTGCAGTAAAGGGACAGAGAGACATGAGTTGGAAAAAACATTATGTAACAGAAAGGCAACACAATACAAATTTACTTGCAAATGTACTCTATAGCATAGCTGTGCTGATAGATACAGAGGAAGGGTCAGAAACCCAAGAGCCAGATGGCAGTATGCATGTGGATTCACAAGCAAGGAAATACATAAACAGCCCTATTGACAGTGATTTTAAGTTGTGGTTTAATAGCAGGGTGAATACAGGAACAGTTAAAGGTACTATAAGACATTAAATAATGTCGTTAATTACAATAACCACAAAGGCTGTCTATATATGCGAAAGTAAAAGAAGCTTGAGACAGACTACTAGTTTTGTGTTCATACACTTACATCATTTTCTTTTTCAACTTTATTACAAAAGTTTCATTCCTCCAGTCAAGTATAATTTCCTTAGGTGGGTGGCTACAAGGCAGCTGGAGAAACTGCTGAAATAATGACAGCATCCTCATATAAGGAATGATGCCAGCCCAGGGATTTCAAGTGTTAATATTGGTTGAATAAAGTTAGACAGCACTTTCACATATGAAAATCATTTTGAAAAATATTGTGCTTAAAACTGCTTCATTCTATATATAGATTGGATTGTTTTGTCTCTCCTAGAATATAGCTGTAGTTTTGAAAAGCAAAAGCTGTGACAGGGGAGGTTTGGGTTGGATATGAGGAGGAAGTTTTTCATGCAGAGGGTGGTGAGGCACTGGCACAGGTTGCCCAAGGAGGCTGTGGATGCCCCATCCCTGCAGGCATTCAAGGCCAGGCTGGATGTGGCTCTGGGCAGCCTGGGCTGCTGGTTGGCGACCTGCACACAGCAGGGGTTGGGACTGGAGGAGCGCTGTGGGCCTTTGCAACCCAGGCCATGCTGGGATTCTGAGATTCTACGAAAACAGTCAATTCAAAAATCAAGCTATTGAGAACCGAGTTTAAATAAATACTTTTTTTTGATGAATTTTGATGATGTTTAGTGTTGGTTTGCTTTTTTTTTTGGTGGGCAGCAGACAGTTAAGTAATATCTTGATGTGGGTGGGGATATTCAGCTGTGATTTGCTGTGGTTTTGTTTTCTTTTGTGAGAGAGAAAACATTGATTCAGCTGGAGAAAATGGAAATGAGTGAGGAAGCAACCTCGGATGAGTGAAAAATCAAACGACATTCCCACACACGCTTCTCCTTATCACTACTGCAAAAATTAAAACTCGTATTTTCAGCTCTTGTTACTGTGCTTCCTACAGCCATAAAAGCTAACAATGAATATTCATTTCTTCAGGCACCATATGTCTTTATTTTCATGCTCCTGCCTATTTGGAAAAGTACTTTGAAAACAAAAGTGTCTCTCACAATCCATCTCTAGAAGGAGATCTGTGGAAGGGTAAATTAAACCTGCCATCAGTGTCCTCCTTGAGGGCTTTATAAAGAGATGATATCTATCCTGTGGGTTTTCAAACTGACCCACTGA